CTACGTCGAAGGTTTCCCAACTCCATCGGTGTTGGTCTAGATGGATCTCGAAAATTGCTCACTGGTTCACCGTGTGTGACACCAAAAGCACCCGATATTCGTTGAGCAATTGCGATTGCTTCATTCACAGTAGATGGATTGCTTACCATCACCTCCTTTCAAATTCGATACTTCTAGCCTCGTTTGAACACGTCCAAGGCTTCAGCTCCACTCATATCCATGATAGATACTTGAAGATCACGAAATTCTTCAATGTACTCATGAATATCTCCTTTTTGCCTCAGATTCCACAACTTTATTCTTGCCGTTTGAAAAGAATCCACCGCTTGAAAATTTTGCATAAGTCCTTCCTGCATTCCACTCCACGAAATGGTAGCACCTTGTTCAAAAAGCATTCTCTCCCATATTGTGTACCATGTGAGAGCCTTATCCGTAAGATAAGATCTCATGAACATTCCTACAATATAATCAAAAACATGAAATGAGATAAATAATCCATCCTCATCCATCCTCATAATCCATCCTCATAATCCATCGCTCTAACACTCCCATTGCTCTACTCCCTTTATAAGCTTCCACCTTACATGATTTTCCCATTCGAAGCAAAAGATTTGCTTGATCTTCAATCTCTTGAAGACGTCTACTATTTGCCTCTGCTGCATCAATAGGAGTTGGTTCTGGCTGAATTTGAGAAGCTTGAACTTGAGGTTCAACTTCCATCTTTCCAACTCTCTCTCTCTACTTTCTCACTCTCCAATGCGAAGATTTTATCTTCCATGGCTTGCTGCTTGGTATGCCCATCTACTATCACTTTTTTCAACTCCTTCATCTTCGTCATGATTGCATTGAGAACCTCACCCATATCAATTGATGTCTCCATGCTTTCTCACACTCCCTCTAATACAAAGTGAGTATAATCACTATGTGACCTCTCAACAAAGGAGTCACAAAAGGTGCAGGTGACTCTATCACAGCTCTATAGTACTCCTCTCCATAATTCCTCACAAGAAAATCTCTCCATATCCTCTTCTGTCTATATAATGTTCTAATCTCTACATAAGTGCTGAATCGAATCGGGACAGGTGGTTCGCGATTCAAATCCATGAAACATTCAGTATAGAATGTATATAGTACAATCCCAAGTCTCTCCATAAATAACTATTGAAAGAATCAGTGACACTCTTGACTCCATCACTCTAGTCATAAAATCTACACCCCAACAAGCCACAAGGTACATCCGAAAATGATGTTTCCCCATGCAACGAAGGTGAATATCGAATAGGTTAGGAATTGGCCAGTGCGGTATTGAATTCTTGTCAATCCCGTCCATATCTACAAAACCACAATTTTCTCTTTCCACCTCTCTCTACATGCAGATGAGTGTTCTCTGCCAGCCTCTATACACTCTCAAGACTACACTCCATCATCACTCACTTGCTATTCCATGAGGGGTTCCACACTCAAGGAAAGAGCAAGGTCGCTCTGATACCATTGTAACACTAGGGTTTAGAGAGAAGCTCACTCGAAGATAGAAACGTAAATTCTGAAGATGAGAGATATCAACAATGGTTACTCTCTCCCTTATATAGCTCTCACCAACAAGTACAAGGAGATAAGATCTAATCCCCACCATCCATCCCACTCCTAGTGGATGGATGACGTGGCGGGTAACCCTAACAAGCACACGGATCGCTGACGTGGCGCACCCAACTAACACACTAACTAACAAACTCAATCCTTACCTACAAGCACACGGATTGCTGACGTGGCACTGTCAACTAACACATCCACTGTGTACCTACCAAGTGCGCGGATCGCTGACGTGGCAGCTAGCTCTAGTGCACACTAAAGTATCTACATCAATATTTAGAGTAACCTCTACTTTAGTTCTAACTAACTAAAGATGGTTACAGATCTAAAAGAAGAGATTAAGAGTAACGTGAAACCTTAACACAAATAATCGCATTTGAGTCTATTTTAATACTTTTGGAATATTTAAAAAATAGAAAGCGGTTTATTATCCTTCAAATTTTGCTTATTATTCCTCAACTCCTCCTTTGCTGACCACTTTGGTGTTGATTTTTGCTTTGAATTCACAACGAGTACTACGGTTGGGTTTATTGCGTTGGCGAGAAACTTCTTGGACAACCAGTTTGTTTTAGTGAAAATACACAAAATTGAATCCTTTAATAAATCCATCTTTTTTTGTTACCAAGCCTGCGTGTGACTTTAATCACAACGGCGTAGCCTTGACTCAACGTGCAAGCTTGCACTGCCGATGGCGCAGCGTTCAATGTTGAGTGGGACACCTCTGGCGATGAAGCGAGCGTGTTCATTTTGAAATGAGATACCTCTCATCAATCATGAACCTCACTCTTAAGCAATTTAAATATTTTTTGCAAGATAAGGGATAATTAACATAAATTAAAAGATAACTAGCCGCTCCCAACAAACAATGTACAACATTTAAATGTTTGAATTTATAACATCATCATGTCACTTCCTTCTTACTATAAGATATTCCAAAAAGTTTATTAGTTAGAATTCAAACTAGCATACATCAAATTTGATAGCATAAAAGTTAATGATAAACAACCAAATATGTTAGAAAAAATTTGAGACTTTTTTTTGGGTTTTTAATAGAAAAATAGTAATTTAGATACGATTTAATATGCTATAAATTTGATGATTAGTCATATTAGTAGAAAAAGATCAAAATTTTAAAGTAAAAATTTAAAAACATAAAATTTTATATCATTTAGATGATTAATATTATTATATTAAATACAAGTAATATTATAAACCATATGATATAAGTAAGTCTTTAATAGCATATCATGAGTAGTTTGAGGTAGAAAAAATACTCAAGAAATATATTTTAGGTCATAAATATCCCAAAGTATAGTATTTGATTCAATGGAAAATCTATCCATCATATGTTGGGTAACAGCTATAAATTTAGCAAACGCACTTTTGATAGTTTAAGAGTTTGAATGTAGCTGCAACGAGTACATTACATCTTAAAGTATGTAGATTTGTAAATTTCTCTAGTTGTTGGAACTAAAATAGAGGTTATTTAAGAATGATTAGAGTAGATAATATTGGAATATCTACAGTGTGACGTCAACCATCAATGTGCTAGTTAATGTGTTAGTTGAAAATAACACATCATCAATCCCTGTGTTTCTTTAATAAGGATTGAATGTGCTAATTAGTGTGTTAGTTGTTAACGATACGTCATCAACTTGTCTACTCATTAGGTATGTATTCCATGTTACTTATCCACTACTAGTGGATTGAATGGTTGGGATGAGATCTAATCTCATTGTACTTGTTGGTAAGAGTTATATATTTAAAAAAGAACAACTATTGTTTGTATCTTTCATCTTCAAGTGAGCTTCTATCTAAATCCTAGAGTTGTACCCATTTTCTTGATGAAAAATCTACTATAACAATCTAAGTTATCTAACCTAATCATACTCAACTCAAATAAATCTATCAATTGTATCTTGTGTTTGTATATTGAATTGCAGCTCAAAAATATTTGCATCTTGTATTAGAAGCAAATCTGATTTCAGAATAATCAAATATATGCGTCGAGGACTAAAACAAAACTATCATAAGAAGCAATGAACTGTTATGAATAAATTCCTTAGTCCAATCTACTTGACAACACTACATTTTTGGATCAAGAATGCAAATCTCAATCTAATATGTTATGTTTTAAAACAATTAAGAATTAATTGATAGTTACCGATTCATCCGTACATCAATAAAGCAAGTAAGATGGTGAAATGTTACGTTTCAAAACGATTTTGAGGTAATTTACGGCTAGTTGATTTTGCAAAGATTAAGAGTGCGAGTTGCATTTTAAACAATTTTGCTTTACAAAGATTTGGATTTGATGAAGATTTGTAGTTTGTTTCGCATCAATTTAGGCAATAAAACGCTCCGCAATTTAGATAATTTAGATGGCCCCGCATACGATTTTCTAAATTACACATGTATAATTAACTAAACATAATCTATGCTTAGTTTGATGGGAAAACTTATCATTATTTTAACTTTGAACAACACAATCACATTGACGCAGATTGTTTAATTACATATATCTTGTGTTGATTTATTAATATCACATGCTATTTCTTGTAAATATAAATCTTCACCATCAATACTGGAAAATTACAATTGTCAATTCTATCAAAATTCACATGCTTGATATAATAAGATGTACAATTTGACTAATAACATCATTTTTAAGCTAAATATCAAGAATATTAAAATTTTTAATCTACTTAATAAAATTATCTTCATTATAAATATTAAATTTAATCCATACATAAAAACATCATTTTGGAACAGTTTTATTATTAAAATATTTATCTATCATGATCAGGATTTTTAAAATTAACATATTGGTTGAATTGATGCAATTTTTTTTAGAAGATTACTATGTTCTTTGCTTTCGCATCAAATCTATTTAAGACAAACTTTGTGTTTAAAACAAATTTCATATGATAGGTCAAGGAATCACATCACAAGTTCACCAAGTAGTACTTATGAGAATAGTAATGCTAGAAAGTCAAAATATTGATACGCCAATTAAAAATAATTTCAGAGAAGCTTTTTTTTAAAATTTTTTATGTTTAGTTTCAAAACGTAAATCGTATTGTAAATCTATCATCTAATGAATTTTTCTAACTTTAAATTTTTGAATTTTGTAATTTAAAATTTAATAAAATCATAATATTTTTGAAATCATAATTTATACATCGCAATCTATTTTCATTTTAGAAATTTCAATAAATAATATAAAAATAATTTAAAGAAATACAATAGAACTTAAATAAAAAATATATAATAATTTCAAATGCAATCAATCTTTTGTGTTCGATTTCGTTGTTTTGAGGAAGCTTTAGAACGCTTTGATTATCAAAACAACAGAAATGTGCTCAGTGTGCAGATTTACTTCACCGAGGGGCTCGGCGCCTTTACGTCGTAAGTTTACGAGCTCGATGACAGGTCTACTCTGTCGGGACAGGACGCAAGTGCGTGCCGGAGACCGAGCAAATTTCGTGCAGGGTTTAGGTTTTCGAAACAACCTCGTTGTCACGAACAGTTTCGGAATGCCTTTCGATTTGGATTGCTTTACATCATCTCGGTATGATCCACTCGCGTTAATTGTCGCTGCGTAAAATTTGTGTCACGTATATCTGAATGTCAATTTATGAACGTGCTCCCCTTTCATTTTCATTTCTTACCGTTTGTTCTGCACATTGAAGAAATTATAAATTACCAATGTGCGTGGACCAATTTGTAGCAAAGATTATTTCCTCGTTCGTGACCGTATGGAATGAGTAAATTCACCTTTTATCTAGTTCGCTATGTCCATGTTTGCAGTCCAAGATCTTAGTAAAATTCCTTTTTTCTGTTCCTCAGCTGCCGCGAAATACGGTTGTGCCCGGACCTGAACTGTGTTCATTGCAGTGAAAGCATATTGGTCAAGAATTTTGGTGGTTGAGGACATGGAGACCACAACTTTGAGAGTCTTGGAATTTTACAGTGGCATTGGAGGCCTGGTGGGTGATTACTTTTCTGAATTTCATTCAGAATGTAGAGGTTGATTCAGCTGATCATCCATTAAGAGTCAGATGACTCGGAATCACAAATTTATTGTCAAGAAAAATACTTCTGCCAATGATCTGAGTGTTTTGCAATAATGGAACCGTGCAGAGATATTCATTGGAAGATTCAGGTGTAAATGCCGTCGTGGTAGAAGCCTTTGACATCAATGATGTTGGTAATGATGTTTACCAGCACAATTTCGGCCACAGACCAAATCAGGTATCCAGTATATGGTTGAACTTCATGTCATTATCGAGGTTTATCAAGTGAAAGTTTTCTTTATTGTAGTACTCATGGAAAGAATCTGTTCTCCTGTACCTTATCGCGTGGATTTGCTTATTTATTTCATCAGGGGAACATTCAAGGACTGAGTGTCAAGCAACTGGACAAATACAAGGCAGATGCATGGCTCCTTTCTCCTCCATGCCAGCCATACACACGTCAAGGTACTGAGGCTTATGTGAATTTACTCGTTGCTTATGCTTTTTACATGAGAACGTAGATAGACAAGTACAACTCAAGAAGCTCACTTTCTTCTCGGAGGAGAACGACAACTGGAACTGATTCGAGTCTGACATCGTCCGGTTCCTGATAGTAATTTCTGACAGTTTTTATCCAGCCCAATCGGTTGTTAAGAACATCTTATATGCTGTGTTAAAGGTTTCAGGTTTGCAAAAGGATGCTGATGACGCACGGGCTATTTCCTTCTTGAAGATGCTGGAGATGCTGCCACTTATGATGTCACCTCCTTCTTATCTCCTTGTTGAGAATGTCGTCGGTTTTGAGGTCCGTCATCTAACTGTTTGGAGCTGGTTGTAACATGCATTAATTGTCTTTCATTCATTCTGGCTTGGCGGGCCCGGAGACAAATGGATCACAGAGCAAACTCTCTGATTTTTCGAGTTTTCCTTCTAAGCTTTTTGGCTTCTATGTTGCAGAATTCTGTAACACATAGCCGGTTACTAGCAGTGCTGAAAGAAGCAGAGTTCACGACTCAAGAATTTATTCTTACTCCTCTTCAGTTCGGAATTCCCTACTCACGACCCCGATATTTCTGCCTGGTACTCAATGCTCCACCTCTTTCATTGTCCGCATGTTGAAACATTAAGAACATTTTTCTTCGTTATCATCATGTAGTTCTTGTCAAACTGTTTACCAATAGTTATTGTTTGCTCGTCACTGTCCCAAAATATATTATACTCGCTTTCTAATCTCAACCTCAAAAGTTGTAAATACTGACTGCTCGAGCTTGACTGTATATGTAAACGGTTTTCTGCATACATCAAATTGTTTCCCGTGAATCCGATTATAGTGGAAGTAAAGTCTGACGCCTTTTGATGAGTTTTTGTTCTTTCAGGCCAAAAGGAATACTCTGCCGTTTCTAGATCCAACCTACAACGGACAGTTGTTGTGCGAACCTGGTCCACTTTTGCAATGCCAGGGATACCAGCATAGTCCAGCGCTGAATGTGGAAAAAGGGAACAAGAGTGTGGAAAAAGGGAACAAGAGTGTGAGGCTGGCAGTACTAGAAGAAAAAAGTAATGCGCTATCGAACAGAAATGATGAACAGAAAGCCATGCGGAATGAACCTATCCTAGATCCGGCGGTCATATGCAGACCGGTTCGTGACTTTTTAGAAACAGTACCCTCAGCTTCTGAGGAGTCCCAAAGCAAATCGTCTGCCATAACAGAGGTAACGTTATCAGAGCAAGACTCGGGCAAGCGAGTTAGATTAGATCCCGGGTGCCCTGCACAAATTAGGAGCCTTGAGATTGCAGAGCTTTTGACATCGGATGGCAGGGAAAACAGTGGGATCTGTAAGGAGGATCAGTTTCACACATACAGGGTACCTACGAACGTTGTACAACGATGGATTGACGCTTACGGTACGTATTTCCGTATGTATTCAGTCTAGATATTCATAGCTACGAAGCTGGTGTAGCAGATCAAGTCAAGCGTCTCTTGGTTGATACTTGGAAATCTCTACTCATACACAGGGGAAATGCCGTCGCACTAGACATTCTTCACTTCAAATTCGTCTGTCTTGTTAAGTTCCTATATTTAACTCATCTTTTCCCAGTATCGAAATTCTTCAGTTTACCTCCGCATAGCCAGGGCGCATGTGTTTTCTGACACGAATATAGTAACGGGTGCAGTGAAGAGAATGTTGATGCGTGTTAGCTTTTCATCTCGTCGTCAACCGTTCTCTTCCTTTCAGGGGCAAGTGATTAAGTTGGTACAATGAGTTCTTTTTACAGTCGATGTGTTTGCATACTTTTGAAGAGGACGTAAGTCGCTCAGTCCATTGGTTTTTGTTCAACTTTGTAGATATTGTCACACCGGATTCAAGAAGATGCTGCTGCTTCACCAAAAGTTACACACGCTATGCTAAAGGAACTGGTTCTTTCCTTGCAATGACAGTAAGTATATGTAATAATGTTATATTCCAGCAGTGACGTAGTATTCTGATATCTGTATTAGGTTAGCAGGCGACAGCAAAGATCTATTTTACTTATTTTGTGTTTCATTCCATTCGGCTGACTGAATAAGGACATTTTTGTGGAGCAAAGATAATCAAACAATCATACAGCAATCAGCATAGCATTATAAAACGGGTCCGAGTCACTTAAGATTCATTCCTCGTAGGCTTCTCGGCGACCAACAGCGAGTGCGGTCATTTCTAAAAATTAAAATCCTTGGCAGGTCAATATAAAAGAAGGTACAGAAACTTCAGTGGCGAAACACATTGCGAACATGAGGGCCGAAGGCCAACCTTTGGATGTTTTAGATTTGCGATACTTCACACCGCGAGAGGTATGTGTTACGGATTAATATGTCATATGTTTGAGTTACATCAACATATACTAATTTGTAGCTGAGTCAGATGTAGCTTAGCTTCCCATGATGGGTCCTGCTCACCAGAGGAACATAACTGCCATTGATGGGAGGTACATTGTATTTTGCGATAACAATGTGTGGCCTCTGTTCACATTACCCATCTTTGTGACTCCAATTATTTCATGGCGTTGAGCAACTCAAACTATCTGTTCTTATCGTTTGATCCTTGGTCAATTCATGCAGGTGGCGAACCTTCATTCCTTTCCACAGAACTTCAGATTTCCAGTGCATGTGAAGCTCAAACAAAGGTATGTAGATGACAATGTACTCAGCCCTTGCATGACTTCTCTTTCTAGTTGAAGTTTTGGAATTGTTCTTAGATCTCTTTATGTAATGGTCTCGTGGGTTCTATGATGGTCGACTTGGCTCATGTACTCCTTTATGTATTACAATGTGGCAGATATGCTTTACTTGGGAACAGCCTCAGCGTAGCTGTCGTCAGTGGCCTCCTGAAGTATTTATTTTCTTCAGCAGCGAAAACTGAACGCACTGTATCATGAGTTGTTCCAAGCTTTGCTGCGATGCGTTGAAAGCATTCGAATGGGAGTGCCCTTGGATACACATCAATGACAATTTAATCGCTGCTGTTACTGTCTGAGCAAAGAAGTCCGTGGCTAATTTACAGCGGGGAAATGCAGCAGCCCACCTGCTTAAAATTTTTTGGAACTGTAGCAGCCAACTTGTTGATTATATCAGACAAGTAGTTTGGGGGATACATATGTATCACCGTCTGTGTGGGCAATGTAACAGATTTTTCTGGGACAGGTAAATTAAATTTTTTTACTCTCGGAAGGAGGTCAAGCGCCAGGATCTGTGCTAAACAATTCAGTCTAGTTTGATGTGAACAGCTCGTGTGGTACTAACTCACCTACTGTCAGAGCACGTAACATATAGTGGACCAGAAGACTGCAATTTGACTCGGCAGGAATCTGACAACATTTTGAGATGATTCAGTCTTGGAAGACTAAGCAGTGCTGATTCACACCTTGGTCTGCACGTAATTGGCAAAAAGACAAACGATTGACCTGTGTACAGTTCCAGCCTAACCAACATAGAGAAGAGTTCGAACATTGGCGTTCTCACCTGCACTGCTACATGTGACCCTCAGAAACTGCCGCGAGATTAACATGTTCCGTTATCTGCTCTCCTTGGCACATCTGAGAGAGTCGTGTTCATTGGGAGGCCGCATAGTAGACGGGAACCGGTGGACTCACTTTTGACGCCTTTCAGTTTCAAAGATGCGTCCGAGACATTCTCCCATGTAGACATCATCTTACGACAGATCGCTGGTACATTATTGTCAACAGTCGTAGATCATAAGATCTATAACTTGATATCGGCCCGGATAGAGGGATGTGATATCCTTGGAGCATTACAAAATTGTTATTCATCGCTACCGCACTTGCTCCACCGCTGGTCGTCCATGTCGTGTCCGTGCACACGTCCCGATATTTCCCCTTCTACTTATCCACGTGCGTGTTCTCTACATATCGTTCACTTGACGTACGAAGCAACAAGTAATATAGCAAGGATCGGGTAGGCCTCGATATCATTAACTACTCAAAGACGTGCAGCGCCAATCGACGTCATCTGAGTTCGGGCATTCCGTTGCTCCAACTGCCTTCGCCGCTGCATCATACCCAGAAGGTTGAAATTTCGTGTCTGGTTTCTTAGCATGGGAAAAAGTAAAGCTCCGTAATCAAGTATATACAAAGATTCGTGGAGTTCTCTGCGTCGTCTCTATTGCATCAGCTTCATGTGCGTCGAACAGCAAAATGGTCATGTGCACGTGGATGGTAATCGAATGAAGTCGAGGACGAGCGGATCGCCCAGCGTCCGGGATTCCGACTGTCGGAGTCAAAAGAGGCGAGAATATATCGAGCTTATCACCGAAGCTTTCCAGTGATTACGGGAGCGGGTCGGTTTTCTCCCAGGCACTGCAAGAGCGGTTGAGATAAGCTGTTGACCTCCATTGTTCTGCAACATGTTTGTCATGTCCGATTGTAAAACGCGGGCATGGCCCGGCATCGACGTTGCGTCACCTGCTAATATTACGGACGATGATATAACCAGCAGTGAATCACAAAACGTTCGCTCCGAGAAACCGCGCTCTGGGGAGTCTTGGATGAGGATGGCAGGGAAGAAAGAGAAGACTGACGGCCCGGCGGAGCTGATTCAATCTCTGCGCGGGGAGGGAATGCCTGCAGTGGGTGAGGCGATAGTTGCTTTCTTCAGTCAGCAAAAGCACGTAAAAAGACTCCCAGCACTCAAGGGTGATCATTTGAAGGGGTAGTCGACCTCGAAGCTTTCAAGAGTCCCTTTCTTTCTTCGTCAAACGATGTACCAAACCGAGTTCAGAGAAGCTGGTATCCCGTGTCAAGTGCGTGACATCCACGTTAGGGAGTGGTTTAACGTAATCGCCGATCACACACATTTTTCAACGACCGGCCAAGATTGACTTCACCGTTTCTGACTGGTCGAGGGCCCAAACGCTGCGAAGGCAATGAAGAAAGATGAATCTGCGCAGGTACAAAGCGTCTGCGAGACACACTGGGAGAATTAATGCCATGTCAATTGTCAGCTCCACTTACGTACAGGTCCATGAATCCTCACGTGTCAGCACGCCGAGACGCTGAAACTGAGGCGAACTCCATGATTCGCCCGTCGTAAATCAATGCTGCGATCGTCACCTCGCTCAGAAATCAAGTCCGAATGAAGACGAGCGCCGCGGACGTGCAAGACGGGGACGAAATTCGAGCTCGGCGCATCAGCGACGACGCAAGCTTGGGAGCAACCAGCGTCGAAACCTCACTCACAGCAGGAATCCAACCCGAGAGAATGGCGCTGCACGTCACAGCAGCGCCGTGGGGCGTAATCCTCCTCTTCCTGCTGGCACTGCTCTCATTCAGCTCGCGAGTGGAGTGGCCGCCGATCGCACCCACAGAAGGGCAAGACCCATCGTCGTCGTCGCTGAATGCGCTCTCGGGGTCGGGATTGCGGAGCGCGGACGATCAAGACGCGCAGCGAGGCGAGAGCGCGTTCGATTTCGGGCGGCTATGGAGGTCGAGCGGGTCGAGCGAGCCCGAGCTCCGGAGCGCGCTGGGCGACCCGGGAATGCGGTCCGACAAGGTCAGGGTCGCGGCCGAGGCCTGGAACTTCTGCAACCGGGTCGGCATGCAGACGGACTCCGCCCTCAGCCCCCGCTGGGCCGACTGCGCCGACCTCTCACCGTCCCTTTCCACCTCCGGTAGGCGCCTCCGTCCGTCCGTCCGTCCGTCCGTTCGCCGCCGGTCTCAACTGTCAAAATCCGTTGCCCCCGTCCCGGTCCTCGTCCTCGTCTCCGTCTCCTTCTCATGGGCTTAACGTCCGCTAGTCGCCGGTCTCAGAGACCTTCGCCATCGCAGAAACGTGCGATTTCGCACCATCCCGCTGCGTGGGTGAGTGATCCTCGATCGATTCCCCGATGCGGGGTGGCCGTCGGCCGTGAGGTTGAGAATTGGATGGTTCGAGGACTCGGCGCAGTGGAATTTCCTGCGTTTGCTCAAACTGATGGATTTTGAGAAGTCTCTGGTGTCGGCGTCTCGAAGAATTTTGGTTCGAGCTAGATTTGTGACGGTACGGTAGTCGATTCATGAACCAGGCTGTGGTGGATGATATGTTTCAGGAGAGCTGGCCGTCGATGATCCAGCGTTGCGGGAGGTGCTGTACAAAGTTTCAGACTTCGACAATGAGCTGAAGACCGGGGACTCATTTCCGCAGCACGAAGGAGAGGAGTTTCGGTCCGTCGACGACCCGGATCTGTACGCGGTCGAGAAGGAGAAGTACCTCGCGTCGCTGTGTGCCGTCAACCAGCCGGTACCATGGCACTTCTGGATGATTATGCTCAAAAATGGCAACTTCGATCTGAAGTCCAATCTTTGTCCCATAGCGGGCTCTTCGGCTTCCAATTATTCAGTCTCGGACGCACGAGCTCAATCTTACGTCAAGTCTCAGCCGGTGCGCCAGCTGCTGGAGAAGGAAGGTGGATTCCCTTGCTTTGGACCTGGCTGTATGAACCAACCTCTTCTCTATCACAACTGGTCACAACTGGAAATTAGAGGGGCCATGGATTCTGGTGACACGACAAAGAGTCGCAGTAGTCTAACCGGATCGTTTTATGGCACCTACGACCTGGATTCAGAAGACTCGATGGACAGTTCCTACTTCTCCGTCAGGTGGTATAAAAATGAGAGTCCTGGGAGTTGGACCTTTCACCATGTTTTGAGAGTTTCAGACAAGTACCCATGGCTGATGCTGTATCTGAGGGCCGATGCCACGAGAGGTGGATCTGGAGGATATCCATGGGACACTCGGGGCATGATGCACACGGTATAAGTCCTGCAATCTCGGACATCCATCTCTATGGGGGGACCAGCTTCTGGAATTTGCGATCTTGCTGTTAAGCTGGATATCTCCCTGGGCCCATAAAATGTTTCTGATCTGTCAAAAGATGTCCCGTGAATCTACGTAATTGTGGACTTTTGAATGTCTTCCAGACCAGTTATTGGCGTTTCGGTGTTACTGTATTTCTTTGTGGAGTTTTTCCCTCTCTGGCTAAGGATGTCACCGTAAATGTCAGACTTTTCCGTCTCAGTGCCTGGCATTCAAATGTTCTGGATGTCCGGAATAGACAAGATTAGGCGAGAGAAACGAATCGTCCATTCGTTTGTGCAGTCATTGATTCACTGCTATTTATCCCGAACATAGAAACTTCGAATCTTCACGGTTTCTATGAACTAACTGACAGCTGCGCTCTTACATTTTAACAGGTTCCTAAATCACCGGATTTCAAGGTTGTAGTTAGTCTGGATGTGATCAGAGGAGGAGGTTCAAAAAGTCAATTTTATCTTCTGGACATTGGAGGATGCTGGAAGAACGATGGCAATCCGTGCAATGGAGACCTTGCCACAGATGTGACTCGTTACAGTGAGATGATAATAAATCCAGACATTGACTCATGGTGTGCCCCCGACAGCATTGACCTTTGTCCTCCCTACCATACCACCGCAGAGGGAGAGAAGATCCATCGCAACGACACTGCAAAGTTTCCCTACGATGCCTACCATCTGTACTGTGCACCATACAATGCACAGCATGCAGAAAAGCCTTTCAGGGTGTGCGATCGGTACAGCAATCCGCAAGCGCAGGAGCTTCAGCAGCTGCTTCCTCACGCTGAGTGGGCTGTACATGGCTATCCGGCCAAGAAAGGAGATGGATGGGTTGGAGACGCAAGAAAGTGGGAGCTCGACGCAGGAGTACTCTCCAGCAGATTGTATTTCTACCAGGTAGCTTCTAACTTGCGGTCCAGAATTTTCTAGCCTCTGCCTCCCGAAATCAAATCTGGCCCCTCGTCGAATTGTTGATCTACAAATTTCCCAGGATTTCGCGCAGTGAGTGCGTCAAGAAGCTCTTCCCAAGAGCTCCATGTGAGGGAACGGAGTACTTGTAATCGCTTCTTCTCCTTACCGCGACAATTTGGGCGTGAAGATTATATTCTGTGGCACATGCTAAGTTCTTCGTGTGATCTGCTGTAACAGGACCCTGGAACTCCAGCAGCCGTAAGAATGTGGCCGTCTGTAGATGTCGGTACCGAAGTCTACGTAAGCACGACTTCCGAGACGGCTGAATGGACTGTGAGTGACTTCGACGTCCTGGTTCCAAAATGAGGCCTTCTCAACACTACCTTATCGACTCCAGAACAAGCTCTTTATTGATGCAGTGTACCCACTAGGCTGCCACTGATTTGCCCGAAATTCGAGCTGCATGTCAAATTTCTGAGCGAATACTTTCGAACTCAGAGGCCGGTTTGTTGCGAAGCTCTTCTGTCCATGGTCTCAGCCTATCATGGGTGGCCATGTGATATCAGATTAAGTACACTTTCGGTAGGCGTCAAGAAGAGTGTTGTGATGGGCACCCTCAATGTGCTGAGCAAGAACAAGTGTTCTTACTGTGTTGCATCTTGCCGTAATCTTTAGGCAGTATAGTTATGCGTGCGCAAAGCACAAGGATCAGAAGGATCACAGTGATGAGGGCCAGAATATATATTTCACTATCAAGGATGGAACCTGCTCGAAACAAGCAAGTTTGAAACTTCTTGTACGAACCATTCCGCGTTATCAATGTGACGAGTACCTCTCAGCACATGTCTGCTGCAATGGTTTGCTAGAGGAGATGGGATTCTAGGGCAAGAGAGCACATTTTCGAGAAGAATAAACTTTCAGTGTGCGGTAGGTTCAAGTATTTCTCGACACAGCGAAGTCTAACGATGAAGCTTTGTTATTTAATCCCTTGTTGGTACTTGTTAGGATTTATTTATCGAAGTTTGGTGTCCGCACATGCAGGTACCAGGTGCTTTATAGTAATATACAACTGAAAATTATGAAGCTCAACAACATCTGAACTTTCCAACACACCTTCATTAGACAATATACGAACTATTTGCTTGCTATCAACCCAACATGTAGTCGCTCGGGGCAGGCTGGAGTATTTTCAAAAGCTTATCTGCACAATCCCATCAGCGAAATGGTTTCTTAATAGTGTACACGATTATTTCTCGCCACTTGACGAGAGGTCAAATTTCTCAATCACTTCTAGATTTCAAGAACTCATCCAACAACTTGGTTCATAGGTTCAGATTGTAATTGAGGGATGGAGTGGAAATGTGTGTTACAAACCTAACCATGTGTCGGACCAGCTACTTACGAGCTCCATCGGATGAACAATGTGAGGAAAATACCTCATCGTCATTACGTTGAAGTTACGTGTCTACAGATGGTTCGACTGGATGAGCAGGTTGTCTATGACTCTAGGATTGGAGTAGAAAACTGCAAGTGGGATAGAAAATTGCAAGTCTCAGTCAGTGTTGAGTAAACTAATATAACTTCCTGTAAACGACCTGACTCGAAAAGGAACCAAGATGACATCACAACTAAATTTACCCAGAAAAGATGATCCGGGTTGAAGTGAAGTCCACTTCACCTTCCAAGGAAACCAATCAATAGAGCAAAATGATATCAATACCCTCGGAATGATGTATGGATTCCAGCAAGTGGATAACACGGCGCTAGTCCGCCATGTGGAATATAACATTTTACATCTAGAATTACCATGTTATTCATGTTATTACGTGAGCACTAGCAGAATCTTGACTCAACGTGTTTAATTTTCTATCGATTACATCAATCAGTTTTTTGGAGATTAATACATTAGTTTGATTATAATTAACTATTCAAAAATCTCAAGAAAATTGATAAATCCTCTCGTCTAGTATCTTCAACTCTCTCACTCAAGTTTTTTGTGATTTTATAATTCACAAAAGCTAATAAGATTACCCATCTATAAATTTTGCATCTTTTTTAAGGTGTATTTTAAATCCTTGAGAGATAAATGGATGCTTACATACCAGACTGAGTGTATCATGCATAGCTTGAGACAGCATCACGAGAAAAAGCGAAACTCTAACACACACACACACACACAACAGGACACGACGAGTGCAAAGTGTAGTCCGTCACAAATCTCCTACCATTGTACAAACTCAGCTCAAATATGAAATTGTTAATTATCAAAACCTCTCAATCTAACTCATAACTTTCTAGTCAGATTTTGAAAAATACCAAATAGATTCTAATAGAATCAAAACTGGAATAAAATCTATCCTATCTATTTAGGAGAAATCCAGAGAATAGATTCAACTGGACCCCCCCAATTCTAAAAATATGAACTTACTAAAATGTTTACTACTAAATTCTCCTTATTTTAACTTTCAGTTTTCCTTGGAAGTAATGGGTTGGTTGGAAGACAATGAGAGACTTCCCTTGAGTTTGTCATGTATTAAACACATGGTCTATTCCAAATCTAAATAATGCACACAAATAATGGAGATGTGGATTTCGGAAAGCACACAGTGCATCCGTTGTGCACATGTAGTTGTCGTTGTATAATAACGAGGGCACTCTGAAAGACATACTTTTAAATTGGTTGAAGTTCATCCTTTTGCATTTGTACCAATCCCTCTCCTTAGACGGGTATAGAATAAAATCGTATGTTTTTGCTTTGATTGCAGAAAACGAGAAAACCTCGAATGATCATGATAAATTCAGAGTAGTCCAATCTTTACTTTATATATTTCTATCACACATACGTTCCAATAGATTAATGAGTAGTTAATTCGTTATCTCTGTTGCAAGCAAAAGTGTTTAAAGAATCTGTTCTTCCGCATGGTGAGCTCAAAGTTATGGCAAAAACATGCCATGATGAAGTTCTCATTCTTCGCGTTTTTCATTCAGTGCATGAGCCTATGAGGTCGAGGATCGCTTACTGCAATGGAATGATATTGTAGAAACGTCCCGAGTGATTTTTATACACCTCTATCGGGCTCATATGTGTTACTGATGAATCTGGTACTATCTAGTGATTTCCAATGTCGGTGAACAAGTTAAACTGAATTGAAAACAGAAAGTGAGGTTTATGTGATGAAAGTCTGGTCGAAATGCTAATCTGCACGTAAATGGAAATCGAAGGGAAGGACCCCATGGTTGAGAAGGATTGCAATGAGAGAAAGAACGAAGCAATTGCTTAAAGGATTGTATGGTAAAGCCGGTTGATAATTCGTAAATTAGCCAAGACTTGTGCGTTTCATGTGAGTATTTGTTAAATGAGGTATATGTGACTGAAACATTGTATTATCAACTTATATATTTTCATGCCATTTTGATTCAGGGAAGTGCAATGAAGAATGCTTTATTAAAAGAAATAAATTACATCCAGTCATATAGCAAACTCAATTTTTTAGGCTGGATGAATTTCTCTTTTCACTAGTAAACAAAAGAAATATTCTGGCATAGATCGTCGTGCATGATGTATGCTGAAAATTGGCTCTTCAGACCGTTCATGAGAAAATTCAAAGCTCAGGAGTGGATTCAAGGGCCTGTGGGCCGTGAATGATTTCGTAGACCGCTAAACGAGGACGAGCCACCATAGGACGAGTGAGAGGTTCCAGAGACGGGGTACCGCCCACCAATAAGAGCAGAAATTGGGGAAGCGACGTTCCTATTTGCCGTCCTTTCCGAGGCACGATGTGGCCTCTGTTGAGCTTCTCTCCCTCCTCTCAGAGGGAGAGGGAGACGAAAGGGTCAGAGTAACAAAATATGAGAGTCTGACCAACGAAGGGAAGGGAAGGGAAGGGAAGGGGGAGGGATGGGAATCGAGGAACGAGGGAGGTAAAGATTATGTGCTCTCCCGATTACGGTGCTCTGTTCTGGGGCCCTCACGTCCAGCAATTATTTCTATTCTTTCCTTTTCTTTTCTCCACGACGACCAGGAAGGACGAGGACGGTATACGGGAGGGGCATTCTAGCAGGTTCTAGGTCTTGTCCCTCCTTCACGTGGTCGACGACTCAGTCCTACGACGTCGGACTCTGTTTCTCGAATTCTCACGAAACATATGGACGTTTTGCACCGGCCGTTAGCCCAAATTGCTTCCTCACGTCATGTGGAGTTTTGAATCATCGCATGGTGTCCAAAGCCTTGGTTTTCCGGTGGACCGAGGGGCATGTTGGTAAATTTGGGATCTAGACAGGGATCTAGACCGTCATCCAGCAGAATTTTGAAGGCTGTAGGTTGTTCTGCCGATTGTGGATTGATCGATCGATCGGGGTTTCAGAGTAGAAATTCGATTTCTGTGGTGCAATGAGGTTTTGGGCTGCAGGGGAGAGAGGTGAAACAATCGGGTATCTTGGAGAATCAATTGAGGACGAAGAAGAGGTAGGGTAAGGTAGGAAGGAGCTTGGGAATGCGGTCGGAGCGTCAGTTCTGGTGTAGCAGAAGAAGAGAAAGCAGGGCCTGTGCGAGGAAGGCAGCGAAGGTTTGGCTTACTTGCCAAGAGGTCAGTTAAAAGAATAGGAGAATGTCGCCCGGTGTTGCCAGTGCAGAGAAACAGGCGGAGATATTGAAGGATCAGGGCAATGTGTACTTCAAGAAAGAACGCCTTAGTGCGGCAATTGATGCCTACACAGAGGTAATGGCTACATGCGCTTCACACTCTCACCAAACCAGCTAAAGATCTCTAAAATGTCGCATATTGAGGGCAGACTATATTACATCACTACATCAAGGCTTGTTGATCGTTGTTTTGATTTTGTATTATTTCAGTATTAGTCCCGAGCAGTCATTGTATAGTCCTGTTAGAGGTTGAAGCATTTTGAATTAACTGTCGTTGTGGATAGTACAGTGAGCTATGATTTAAAGTTTGGAACTTAGAATCATCCTCTTCAGTGACATTTCCTTTCTACACTTCGTCCCACCAGATTTCATATGGAGTTAGGGTTAATTGGACACTAGAGTCTTACAGGATCTATCGATGGCGCTAGGGTTATCATGAATTTGATGGAATTTGATCTGCTCAAGGTCATCATGAAGCAGCCAATGAACTATCACAAAACTTTATGATCCGCACTCGGCTATCAGTACCACTCTCGTGAGGCTCTCTATATGGGCAATTGAAAGACGTTTGTGGGGATTCATTCTTTCAAACTTTGAAGATTCCGTTTCATGAAAGTGTAGAAACAAACCTTTAGAAAGTTGGTAAATGCCAAAGCTTTTGACTAAGCGGCAGCTTGATTACCTTCCCAGAAGCCACCTTATTATCTAGTATGCAACTATTATCTGATGTCATGAGATCAAAATTTGAGATTGGAGGGGCATGATAGCTCGGTTCATTCCCGCATGCCATTGGCCTGTTTTTCCTTTTGTGGTCATGCTCTTTTCCAAGAAGAGACTCACCACAAACATGTCGCTATCCAATCTTTCTACATTCTTCCAATTTCATGTCGGCGTGTGTTGTGATATGATGCAAGTGCTGAGGTTTGCTCCAGTACCTACCTGAAAGCGACCTGTGGAGTTTGATTCATGTCCAGGGTTTCAAAGTTTTACCTTAACATTTTATGTTCTCATAGACAAAGTAGTGCGAGTATGTTTGTCCTGGCTAAGTACTTGTAGTTCATGTATGTGAGTCCTAGATCTCATGGATTTGGTTGCATCATGCTATGTTGATAGTGCAAAATTTTGGTTAGACTGTGTCCTACGAAGTGTTTGCCCATGGAAGTCATGATGCTTGTCGAAGATATTTGTGCTTGATATAAGTCTGGTTAGTTTCCTCAGTAGCTTTCTGTATATATAGTAGAACATTCCTATAGTACACAACCTTTTTCTCATTTTTGCCAAAGCCCAGCTACTCGCATTGAGTACTAGTGCACGATCTTGCTAGCGTCATGATGTTACTCCTGGGCTTACTAATAGGTACAGTACCTTCAAGTTTATTTGTCCTTGATCTTCATGCAATTCAATTCACAATGTATGCTCAGACTATGTTGAATGTAGGAATAAAACTTTATTCTGGTTCTTTCAAATTTGTACCTTCAATGTTCCAGTTATCGTTTCTTTTCATATTTGTTGCATAGGATAACTGTGTGCAACCTTTAGTTACATACTTTCACTCATATACGTAGGAGGCTAACAAAGATAGTTGGAAATGATCCTTGCTTTAGAAGCCAACAATCCTTCCTCTTTGTTTTCATGTTTAGAAAATATTTTGATTATTTGGAGGAACGAATCATTCAGTCATTCTCTTTGAAATTGTACTGCAGGCTATAACGCTGTGTCCTCTAATACCGGTCTACTGGACAAACCGAGCTCTTTGCCATCGGAAAAGAAAGTAAGTAGACCTTATTGTTTTCAACAATCTAGAATGTGGATGATTTAGATCAAACTCATCCAACAAGTTGCAACTTCGAAGTTTTCCTATATATACATATGTTAAATAGATCACAAAGGGTGTAAGTTGATAGATTCATTATTTGGGGTTGCGTGGCTTTACGGTTCATGAGCATTGACAGTAACTTAGAAGAATTTTGTTGATTACATAGAAAGATATAGCAGCTTGTAAGTTGAAAATAGGTGTGAGACTTGTTGGAGGATTTTGACATGAATTTATTCTTTTACTATCGGTGTAGTGAATGGGAGCGTGTCGAATCTGATTGTCGGAAAGCACTAGAACTCGACAAAGATTCTGTTAAGGTTGGTCTCACACATTTGGAAAATGCACGTCAGAATCTCGTAGGCAGGCATATTGAATGGAAATAAATTTCAAGACCACGGGGCTCAATTGTGGCAGACAAAGGTTGAGGTTTAGGTTTTCTTCTTACAGGAGATATGGTAGTTTCGATGATGAAGTGGAGGTATTGATGTTTTTTTTTACCGAGCTCTACCTTGGTTCATCAGGATTTTCAGATAGCGTCAATCACATGACTAATAAAATCAGTGTCCTCAGTCTCAGGTTTAGAACCAAATTTTCGCGTATCTTAATGAATGCTAGTTATACTCAACACTCCCCAGTACAAGCGTAAACGTTTTATTCCTAACCTCATAACAGAGCCTGTATCATCTATGGCGATCGGAGTAGATGGGATAATCTGTCAAACTAGTGCCTTGTATGGGCATTGCCCTTTTATGTCAGGTTACCTGTTTTTTATTGAATTTGACAATTTAGACCTTGAGTTTAGTCTGTTTTCTCTCTATTATGAAATGAGAAATGGCTCTGGCAAGTTCATTTATGGTGAGGTCTTAGCTTCATTTCTACTCCAACCCTTCATATGCTTTCAGCCAAACTGTCTTATTTTTGTGAGGATTGTCGGTTTACCGTCGCCATGTTAAATAACGCCTACGATACGAAAAAATTGTAGGCTAAATGAAGTGTGAGCACTCAAAAGTGGTACATTTCAGTGCGTAAGCATTTAGCTTTAAGTTCAAATCTTTTAACTTCAGACGCGATGTTTGAGGTTACGATACTTCAGCTTTAGAAAATTAGATTTTCGTCCATTTAAAGTCGAGCTTCACTCATACCACACATGGTTAATGTGGAAATATCATTCGGGCAATATTTCGATCCTCATTCAACTCCCTTCTGTATATGTTAAAAGCGCACTCGGTGTTTGAACTAGTGTTCTTTTGCCTGCAGGCACATTACATGCTTGGACTGGCGTTGCTGCAGAGCCAACAGTACAGAGAAGCTGTTAAGCAATTGGAGAAGGTAGTTCACGACTGTCTAGGAAAATGCGTGGTTTCGTCCGACGTTGAGTCATGTTGATTTGTTAAAATAAATGATGTTGTTGTCATTGCTTTTTTGTCCAATTGAAGAGTTGAGCTGAGAAGAAATTCCCTTCTGACTGGTTTTGAGTGATATGATGCTATAGAACTAAACTAACGCCGCAATTTAGCATCTGCCTTATGTTGATAATTTACTTGGATTTTGGCAAGGCATTGGAGCTTGGGAGAGGAGGGAAACCAGGAACCTACATGGTAGAAGAAATTTGGCAAGAGCTTGCGAAGGCGCGGTATACGGAGTGGGAACAAGGTGCCTTAGTAAGAAAGCGCCAACAGAAAGATCTCAAGTACGTAGTTGTCATGTCAATCCAGACCTAAAAGCCATCCAATATTCGGATCAAATGGGATTTAATTCTTGGCTCAAAGCAAAATTACCTCACGGTACCGAGAGTGACTCGTTTTAGATGTACGTATCGCTACATTCTACGGACTTTTTGCAATTATGTGGATGGACATGAATCTCCAGGATGGATTGTTAATAGCTGATATCATTGCGTGAGGTTTTTGGACTCACTCGGTCGCGCGAGAACAGCAACAAGCGGTTTCACGCTTCGCGCTTGATGACGATGAATCTCGGAGAAGGACTACATGAGTAGGTTTGATGGTGTATTCGACATGGAGAATCTGACTCTAGATACGGTTCATGTCATGTAACAGAGAACTTTGCGAACGTCTTTTGAAAGAAGACTGTGAAAGAAGATTGACTATAGCTGATGTCAACACCGCACCCGTGAAGCAATCGCTGGTTGAGATTGATGGAGTTATTCAACTAGATGACGATGAGTTCTCTGGAGATGAAAACAAGAGTGACGACCCACCAAACGAGGAGATAACCAAGCTCTACCATCAACATTTAGAAACTTTAACACAGGTGTTTGATAAAGCCGGTGCCCCAGACCGGCCAGTTGAGGTAACTCGTGTTACTGCTCCTTAATCAATTAGGAGTCCAAATATGGTGAGAGGTTTCGCAATGTCTGAAGACTGAGGGATCGAACTGCGTTTGGTGATCATTGTTTAGACTTTGGATCTCTTGTTCCTCCATCACGAAGAACTGCAGTCGAGCCGAGAATAGTTCTATGCTGTAGATGTTCCTTGCCTTCGTTGGGATTACTGGAGATTTGTCGCCTCTGGCCTGCACGGATTGATTGCAGTTTCGCTGAATGACCATAAAAAATAGTCTTTATTAGAGGCATTTCACCACAAATAACGAGATGTGACAACTCTTTTTCTAACTGGCAGGTTCCGGATCATTTGTGCTGCAAGATTACCATGGACATTTTTAGAGACCCAGTTATCACCCCAAGTGGTGTAACCTACGAGAGGGCTACTCTTTTGGAACATTTACGCAAGGTACGAGCAGTGTTAGATGCAGGTGGATATCGTGTTAGTATACCGGAGCAGTCTACATAACATTGTTGGTAGTAAGTAAGAATCTGTACCAGGAGAAAATTGTTCATGTTTTATTCACCGAATTGTAGTGTGCGCCGCATATTTTGATCCTGCTGATTTTGACAGGTGGGCAAGTTTGACCCAGTGACTCGAACGCCTCTTTCTTCGGATCTTGTGGTGCCTAATCTAGCAATGAAGGAAGCCGTGCAAGCGTACTTGGATGACCACGGGTGGGCCTACAGAACGTATTAGCTGATCGACTGCCCTTTGTAATTATACATGTGAAAATGGTGTTGGAGAAAGTTCAAACTTTCTGCGAGCTTTCATTGAAGATGATTCGGAGAATGATGTACCAGTCATTCGTTGTAAGATTTACGTTGTGGTCAGGAAGTTCTGAGCTATATCCAGCACAGAGAATCCTGCAGTTGGAGCTCATTGTAGGATTAGTCGAATTCTTCAATAATCTTCGATGTAATCCGGCCACTTGGTAGCCGGGAGCAATCAGCCGAGCAGGCTTTTTACATTGAGATTAATGGTTCATAGGAATGTACTCATTTGTTGTTACCTTCGCAACCTTGTGGCGAACATTTATATGGCGACACAGTAGTTGTGAATCGTTACTACCGCGATTGCAGTGAACAAACTTTTGTGGAGGTTTCTCTGTTTGAGAAATCGTTGTCATCAACATCTGGTCATATTACGAATTCTACAAGTTTATGTGAAGACCATTTTAGTCTTCTGTGACTAGGTATTGCCATTCCCGATGGAGTCAGATGGTCCGGTCAAGGAGCATTATGAATCTCCAAATATTCTGCCATGGACAAGTGGGCTTGTTCAATGTGAAAGGACCGAGCTTCACAGTCCTTATGGGATTGATGTTGAATCAGTCGCCATCTCCATCTGTACGCGGTCAAATGAAAAGGTTGGAGATTCGTGCTCTCAACGAAACTCAGCGCCGCAGTAGACGAGGATGAGAGAAATAAACATGCCTTGAAAGGTCACCACAAGCTGAGATCCTGGACCCAGAACCGTGGAGTGCGATTTTTCCAATGTCATCCACGGAATGTGACCCACACTCCGGCAGACTACTGGGACGAGTCACGACCGCCGCAGGGTGGCAATGCGACTCGTATATCCTGCGCACGTGCAAACACAATGCAAGGTCTTACACCGCATTTGACTGTCTGTAAAATCGTCGTAGGGCCTCAACCATGATTGCGTCGAAACGAGCAAGAACATTCGCATCAGCAGACGACGAAGTCAAATGTAAGATGAACAATCGAGTCTCGAGAGTTCCATGCACACAACCCTAGGGAGCTAAAGGGTATCGATTGTTCTCACTGAAGATCTGAATGGCGTGTAATCAGCACTAAAAGCTGCCCCAGCACTCAGAAGTGGTGACTCTGCTCCGAGCAGGAAAAGCGACCATCATAGAGCAGGTGTTTACAAGTCTTGGACGGTTGTTAGTCCGGTAGCGAATGGCAGGCTGAAACTGCGACGAAAGAATAATGGTAGGCCACAAAATGGCGAGTCTGGCATGTGAGGGCAGCCATCAGGAGCGACTGTTTTTCACACAAGAATCATATGCGGATCGATCTGTCCAAGCTTCCAGTCGAGTGCCCTGGAGTAGGGAGCCGAAAGATTTGTCGATATACATGCGTCGACAAAGCTCGTGGAAGCTATACTTGCATCACGTAAAATGGGGCCGGCTTCCATCAGGCTTACTGTGGTCAGCTAGATCCCCTTCGAAAGACTAAGCAGAGAGTGTCTACAGCCATAGCAGTTCTGACTGAACACAGCCAACATGCTTTAGTGAAGGAAGCAAAACCTTGTTCAGTAAAGTGACTAGGATTGTGAGCAGCATCGTTAACATTTCGGTTGTGCAACCTCGTCCGAGCTCAAGCTACGCCTAGAACCAGAGCCAAGGCCAAGGATACGTGCGTGTAGCCCCGTGACTCCCGTCAGCAGATTAGATTCCCGCATCAGGAGTCCATTTGCATGCTGCTTGTTAGCAGCCACATCCCCTCACAACACTTTCGATCACTCACGTCTCTCTCCCTCTGCTCTAGTCACAATTTGTTTAGCGTTTGCTCTAATCTCACGTTGCCATGGAGGTGGGGCACTACGTTATTCAATCCCTCTAACCTGCTGCACCCAACTCCTGTCATGTCGAGGCCGAGTACCGAGTTTGGAAAACTTTGGACACCTTGGGACGAGCCAGAGAACATCGCTCGATGGAAGTACGGTGTACTGAAGAGCTCAGCACGCACAGCTCCACAGTCGTCACTGATTTTGGATGTACTCGACTCGATCATTCGTTCCGGGTGGCATCGCCATGTGGGCTAGAGTAAAATCAGACAACTGTAGTCAGGATAAGGTCGCTGGAGTCAGCCTTTTCGGTAAAGTTGCGCGATGGGGAAGGGGGCATAGATCATAGATCATGGAGGAGGTGCAGGGATCGAGATCTACGCCCCGGAAATGTACACCGACCAGCAGCGAGCCACAGAATCCACTCAAGACTCATCTGCAGGGCCAACATTCCGATGCACAGTGCAAACCGTTCCAGATCTTTTCAAACCGTTTTAGTCCCAACCCATTCATTCCATGGGACCCTCCCTTTGATATCACAACAGAGATGGTGCCTTCCTTCTCTCTCTCCCTCCCTGTTTGAGAGCTTCGATGAGACGGCTTTTGGGTCTGCCTGGTTTTGACTAGATTCCCAGGATGCTAACCGTGAGAACCAGAGATCACATTACTTGAGCCCAATCTCTCTTTCTCTCGGTCTTTCTTGTCTCCGGAGCAGATTGCAAAGACAGAATCCAGGCTGTCTGTGATGAGATCAGTGGGCCCCTGTGAGATTCCCAACAACTCTCCAGTCTCCAGCCCTTTTGGATTTTCTTAGACTACATCCTTCTGTCCCAGGCCCCAAGCCCCAAGCCTGCCATTGTCTGCTCGTGTACGTTGTGTTGTATCGTACTGAGTCGTTATACGTCGCCAAGACTGTTGTCCATAACTATCTCCATTCCACAACAACGAACAACAACAACAGGCTTTGTGATAAAACTCCCGCCACCGAGAGAGTTGCAGACGCAATGCAGAGATCGGGATCCGACCCTCTCCAGATCAGCCCTTCCTTTTGCACAGTGCCAGCCGTCGGTCTATGCACCCTCGTTCTTCTTGTACGTTCAAATCTCCAATGGGTTCGTCAACTTTGTCTGCTGCCCTGTTGCTCGCAGCTCGTTGCCCTCAATCCACGAGCCCGTAGCTGTTCATCCTTTTATCGTATCTTTGGGAGTTTTCGAGAGTGGGCAGTTAATGTCACTGGGTCGAGCAAAGGACGCATCCATCAACGAGAGGACTTTTGATTCCACTCACTTGTACAGCACCGATACAGTTCACCACTTTATGCTCTTACGTTTGCTCGCTCGGTGCACATTATTGGTGGAACTTGTTGGCACCATGGCGAGCACCCGAGCTGACAGATGTTTTCTTCTGTGGGGAGGTTGGGGTGGAGTGCCTCTGTCTCATTCCCAGCCTAGCCCATCCATTCGAGCACGGAGGGCGGCTGGGGGTGTATTGAACATTACTCTCTCTCTCTCTCTCTCTCTCTCTCTCCATTCGAGCACGGAGGGCGGCTGGGGGTGTATTGAACATTACTCTCTCTCTCTCTCTCTCTCTCTCTCTCTCTCCATTCGAGCACGGAGGGCGGCTCGGGGTGTATTGAACATTACTCTCTCTCTCTCTCTCTCTCTCTCTCTCCGTGTTTCTGTTCACGTACGTCGGCTCGTGTCTCGGTCAAAAGGTGCTCTTGACCCGCTGCTGCGACCTCAATCTTATGATTGAGGTCATGATTTAGATACTCGCGAGGCTGGAAAGCTCGGAAATTCTGGGCACTTTCCAGACCCATGAGCAGATGTCTGGATTTTCATGACTCCTCGGGGCAATTCGGGTCCGAACTTGGAGGCCTGAGCAAGGTCCAATCATGCAGTCCTCGGGTCTGAATCCGGATGGGACAGAAATTGCCACACTATTTGAGCCCGTGAGCCAGCCTTGACTCAGTGATGGTTCTTCATGGAGCAGGACGGAGCCCCACCTCGTCCGTCTGGGATATGTGAATCAGCCAGCCTCTGACACGGTGCTGCTCTCCATAAAGCCAGATTAAATTATCCCGTTTTAATGGGGGCGCACCATCTCGTGCCTATTCTCTCCCATCCATTCTCTTCACATCTGCGTCGCTCTGCTTTTCCCCAGACAGAGTCCAGTCTGAGATCTGTGACTCTGAGCTAGCTAGCGAGCGAGCGAGCGAGCCACCCAGCTCATGTCTCACCCCCCTGGTCTCCAGGCCGAGCTGAGCATCGAAGACTGGTTTGATGACGTACTGATTAGGGAGCAGTGCTTGATCATCGTGGCGTGCTGATGGAGAGGCAGTTACAAACACAACGATTTGGCCAAGGTTCTAACGCTAAATCCAGATTACAGGATGGATCCAAAGGTATAAGATGAGCAAAAGTGCAGGTGGGTGTTCTTTTCCTGAAACGTTTTGGGCGGAGAGAATGTTAAGACGGACTGTGTACTTGGATTCTGCTCCAAAGGTGGAGTACATATTTACAGTGGTCTGTTTTGCACGCCAGCCTGCTTTTTCCACGAAGCTGTGCATGATCTATCTCGTATGCCACACTCGTGTAACAGGCGTCTGCAATTCCAGGAGGCCTGCAAAGGTGGCAAACGACCCCTGCCAAGAGTGCATGAGCTTGGCTGGTGCGGCATGTCGTCCATAGTATCCGTCGCCTTCCTATTCCATGCGTCCCCGTTCGCTCACTCGGGGCTGTGTGTCTGTCTGCCATGGCTTTTTGTTGAAGTCCACCTTAGGTTTTCGACGACTAATCGAGGTTTCTTGCTACGATCACTTTATCGCAGGCCTCCTAATTCTGGGATTTTTTAACAAAATCCCAAAATTAACCAAAATTAAATCTTGAGTCAGACATAAATTAAGACCTTCATGATTATAACTTTGAATTTGCCACAAGTAGGATTATGTCACGTTGCCTTTGCCCCAAGTAAGAATATGTCACGTTGCCTTTGCCCCAAGTAAGAATACGATACGTATTATTTGTCTTCGTACAGAAATCACTCTCTCGTAGAATTCCGAGACTCGCACGTGAGAAAGTGAATTAGTGTCGAGTAATAGCGTATGTATGGACTCTATTATATGGAGTATTATTATGGAATTCCCAAAATTAAGACGAGTAGAATCCTTAATTTAAGTTAATTTCGTTAGTTATGGGAATTCCCAGGCCTTTTGAGACCTGCTTTATCCCTTTTCATATCAGATCGACAGACGAACTGATCGTGCACAGCTCCGAGAACCTCGCTCAAAAAGAGCAACGTACGGATCGTTGCACCTCATGCCCTTTATTCAGCAAGGTGTTCCGTCCCCTGAGGCCCAACTCTCCTCCACTCTTCTCTTCTTCGCTCATCTCCCAGAACATGCACACATCTAATGATTCATCCGCAGAGTCGAGAGCCTAGCGCGTAGATAGATCATCTACATTGCACACTGCACCACCGACCAGATATATTCATCCAAGTACAACAAGGACTCGGGTGCTCTGATTGCTGCCCACTTGTTCGATCCGGACATGTTTGAGTCCCAGGGTCGTAGTCCAGCATTCTTCTCATAGCTTCAAGTGGCCCCACTCGTGCAACTCTTCCCTCCATTGATGCATCAGCACATCCTCTCCATACTTTTTGTTACTATGCTTTGTGCTTCTCTTCTCTGGATCAGCACGCAAAACACGTGATTACTCGACTATGGATCACATCTTCCAACGGTCTTCATACTTTTCCGGTCACATCCTCTGGATTCCAGTTTGGGATTTAGTTGCAGTACTGTCTGAGAATTCCAAGCCCAGGCACTTGGAGACATCTGGACATCTTGTCCCCTGATTTCCCTCTAAAAGAAATTCCACCATGACCCCTTTCCCATACACGAGTGTCCTTGCATTACCCTCTTCTTGGATTTTACTTCTGGGAATAAATAGGCAAAAGACTTCTGATCAGTTTTTGAATATACTTCCACTGCCAGTACGTGGGCTCCAAGTCATTGCGATCATCATCTTCCTACGTATTAATACAGTTATCGATGAGGTGCCCGTGCCTCAAAAAGCTTGTTCCTTCGCTTATTGAAGCCTCATGAGCATGCAGCTTTTGGACCTGGGGGGTCCATATTTTCCTCCCACACTAGGTGACATCATTTACTTCAATCAGACAAAATCCTCTGGAACCCCATTCCTTCTCTTACTTGAAACCCCTCAAATGCAAGAGATGTACCTAAAGATGCATGTACTGTACTGTGTGTACGGAAGTATATAGTATAATACTTTCTTCTGTATGAAGAAGAAACACGAGAGTAATTTTGAAGCGCAACGAGAGAAGCAAGCTGTACACACTTGAGACTGATGCTCCACAACTTTCCAAATTGAAGACCGGAGGTTAGAAAGTCTAGGGAGAAAAGGTGGAGAGGTCAACGCTAATATTATTCTATACACCCCAACAAAAACATCGAAAATAAAATTTTCATTTTTACTGGAACCCAGATCTTCTTGCGTGTCATACCTCGTCACACCAAATCAGTACTCATAACACAGATTCTGCAGCATTCACGATTGGAGATGTACTACATGCTCCTTGATCCAGAAAGAACCAAACTTCTCTTGCACTGAAGTAGGTTATTATCTTTCTCACTGATTGTTTTGTCGCCCTCATTGGCCCCCAAACTGGGCAATCGTTTAACAAAATGGATGATAAAGTGTGATCCGATCGTGACTGGTGATCACACTTTAGTGCCTAACGGAGTGGGTCTACCTTTGGTGTGGATCCACTCCGTTAGGCAAGAATCTGAAAGGAAACACCGACCTCGAGACATTGGAGCAAAGCAACGTGGTTGATGCGAAGAAATCTGGACACATGGTCCCGAACCACAACCAAGGGAAAGCTGGCCGAAAGGGAGGCCACCCTTTCGGCCAGCCACAGCCATGCCTGCCGGTTTCATGGATAGAACAGGAAGAGGAAATTCGAGGGGAATATCCATATCCAATCTGATAATCGAGGCACTTTTGCATTGCCCAAACCTTCTTATGTCCATGTCACCTTTTCCAGATAGCGATGGACTTCCTATGGCATGCATCGTTCTGGGTACAGAGGCTTAGGGGACTTCAAGTTCTCCGTTTGACACAGAACATCTCAAAAGAAAGGCTATCGCTACGGACGAATGATGATGGTTTGAGTCTTTTCGAGCAAAGAGTGGGCAACACACAAGTGTCATGACACTTGTCGAGGGTTCTTAAACGCACAATGCTGAAATTTCCAGAGGTTTTTTCTTTCTTTTTGTATGGATCTGTGGAGCAGACCCCTACAGTTACAGCTATATATCGAAGCCATAGGCATTTTTTCTGGCTCCACAATTTCGTGCAGAATATTATCACCTTCGACCTCGGCTGTACATGCTTTTCAGTGACGCCATCACCGAGAGAATGAATGATCGCTCCTTATCATGCCCAAAGCAGAATGTCTGTGATGAGAAGTATGAGGTGGATAGCAAGCACGATAAGGAAGTCCTCGTCCCTTGGAACAAAAGCAAATTCTACCCTGCCGACCCCACATGGTTTGTTTCCTTGATGCACGTGCTCGGCTGCATCTGCATCAGGAAGACGATACTTCGTTGTGGTCGCAGATCCAGCCCAAGGAGCCATAGCAATGGGTCTTGCTGCGAATTCGCATAAAATTACTCGAGGAAGAGAAATGCTGTGGCAAGCTCTTGCTTCATGAAAGGGCAGTGATCGCAATTTCCTGCACGCAGAAAAAATCCGTTGCGATCATCAGACATAGTAGTCTATGCAGCCTGCCCAGTATGAGTCCGTTTGCGCAAGAATGGCCCAAATCCTACGAAATATACCACCGAGGAATGTTTGCCGAAGACGTGAGCTGACACTCTTTAGGAGACAAGCCATCACTCCACAATCTACCAGCAAAAACTAGGGGTCGGGAGAAGGGCATTCGGTCGAGGAGCACACAAAAGGTACCAGTTTTTTATTGGGACCACGATTTTCATTGGATTGAGTTCAAAGGCAGGGGGTTAAACTCGAAATAAATTGAAGAAACACTTACCACTACGTTCCACACGCAATCTCACGTTTGCTCGTCATTCATACGATCGAATGCCGTTGCGGAGGAATAATGGTCTGAAAAGGACGGGCAGAAATTCACCCTGTGCACATGAGCCGATTCCGGAATGGAGGACATTCCCATGACGGTTTGGAACTCAGAAGTGGGCATGAGCTCCACTCCACTCACGGTCGACAAACCACTTTTGTGCAAGTTGAGTGCCGAGCAAAGTTTGAAGGCCTCTGCAGGACAAGAATCCGGACCTGAAAGGCTCATGAGGCACACGCTTGTCTTCTGTCTGTCTGTCTTCGTGTGCTTTGATGATTGGGAAGAGCTGGATGCTCGCTCGAGCATTCTAGAAGCCATTCTACGCAAGTCTTATCGACAAACAGGATGCACACTGACGAATTCACCTCATCGACGGCCGGAAGCATCGTGCATTTTGGATCGTGAAAGACTCGCGAGCCAATACAACTAGCCATGTCTTCAATACCTCTAGACACATAAAAATCATTCCGAAGGTATTTTTGAAGCATACTCACTTAGTACAAAGTTAAACCTCTTATTAGTGATATAGAACTCAAGATCCATTAGTTTTTTAATAGTAAATTTATCCAATAAGAACTATACTGTCACTATTAGCAAAAGTGACATGATACTATCCAAGTGTAATCTTCAGAAAAAAATTGAATTCCATTCTTTATTGCTGTTACTCCAGCCCAATTCCCAACCTTTGACTTCTTCTACTACTGCTCCCGCTAACATGGCATGGAACCACACCACATACAGTGCCTTGACTCCCCTCGCTGCCCCATGCGTTCCTTGCATTCGCTCCGCGCGTCATGTTACTCTAGAAAATGGTGGTTCTGTAAACTCAATTAATTAAAATTTATTTGTCATCATACTACCATTAAACCACTTCCATTCTTATTCGTTTACTTTACTTTCATTTTGTTTTTCAACCATTTTAGAGGTGAGAAAAGACACAATCCACTCTACGAATTTACTCAGCTCTGCTAGCTTTTCACCATTTATAAGTCTGCTTTGCCATAGACGAACTTAGATAACGCTTACTAAAAAAAATCCGATAATTGAATTTGAAGACAAGTAGTTAAGAATAATACTATACGCCAAATGATCCGATAAATATTTAGCGGATTCATATAATAAGAATGCTCCTATATGATTCGCTAAATGCTATCCAACCTCGTCTCAGTGACACCTCCCAATAGTAACGTGAAAATCTAGCATCAATATGTGTCATTATTGGGAGGTTAAAGTTCTTTTTACGCAGCAGCAAGATAAATTCAAAAAAAAGAATTTAAAGCAAGATACTATTAATAAAATCAATAGTTTAGTGAAATGGATGTATTGAAAGTACATATAAATATAGAAAAATGAATTAACTGAATTTAAATGCACAACAAGTAATAATCATGGATTTTTTTATATAATTATGTATAATAAGAAAAAATTTATTATTATTATTTTTTGAATAATAAATCAATTAAAGTATATTACTTAATTTATTTGAGTTCTTTTGAATTTAGTTTAAATAATTTTTTCAAAATAATATATATTTATTGATATATTTATATACTGTATTAGGTAGAACTTTCAGTAATTAAAAAATTTGGGCTTCATTCGTCTTTATTTCCCATTTTCCACGAAATTATGACATTGACTGGACGAATATATGCATTCTTCTAGTGCCAGAGGTATCCAGAGTATTTTGTCCTTCACTACATAGACATAGCTTTTGCCGGGGATGATCTAAGAGTGGATTCTCCAGTAGTTTTCGGCATATCCTATTTTAATAGTGTTTGTCAATACATTCAACTACTACCTCGCGTGTATTCTCATCACACTTGATAACCTTTATAAGGCTAGGAATGTTTTCTGAGACATCATCTGGTCGTTCAAGTGAGCTACTTGAGAGATGAATTTTTGCCACTTATATATCTGTTTACTATCGGAATATATTATACTTACATCGAATTTGGCTAGATGGACAATCCCATCGCCTTTTAAATATTTCTCATCTGTGATTGAATATAGGTCCATCCCTTAGATATATGCAAAGATTGTGGATCAGTCAAGTGTAACGTTAAGACATACCAGAGATGTTTTGTCTCCTAATATATGACACGAGCTTACAATTTATTTTATTTTTTCAATCAATTGGCCATCCACATGGATCCGTCAACAGTTTCAACAAAATTTATATTTTCTCTTTTTGCATTTATGCATTTCTCATTTCATTATTGTGCACCTACTCGCTTTGCCCTTGTCATCCTTGTGAAAAATAGCTTGACCAAGTCATTTGACTTACACAGGCTGTTTTATTGTGAAATTTTGTTCTAGTTAGACAAAAAAATTTCCCATCTTCATTACTGCTTTGAGACGACAACATTTATTAGACTCGTTGTTTTTCATGAGAAGTGCAGATTAGAAGAAAGCATAATACTATCAGCGAATTGATGTATACTAAAACTCAAAATTTTTAATGTCTCAATTGATTTAATGATACCTAGTACTTTCATGGAGTTCAAGAATGACACCATATATGACTTAATATCTCATAAATGAAACCAAGTTCATGATTAAATTTTTTCATTCCACAATCTTAGATAACCCTAAATAGTCAGAATTTTTTTCAATTTGAGCATATGTGCAAAAATCCTAATTTATTTTCACTATAGCTTTAAAAATATGGAGTTATGTGCCTTGAGTGCAAAAAAAATGTCAGAAGCTTGACATACTTTTTTGCTTGAGAAAGAGTATCAAGCTATCATACCAATGAATAAAGGATATCGCTATGTGTGTGTATGTATAATTGCGATATTATACCGATGGTATTATACCGCTCTAATATACATCACTCTCAAACTATTATACATTATAAAATGTATACTAAATAGTCCGCCACGGAGTCTAAGCGGCGGCCCGCCACTCAGACTTCGTTTCCATTAACTTCGCTGCTGGTGGCAAAATTTATGGAAAATCTATTGTTCTCACTCCAAGGACGTAGAGCTCAGCTAGTCTGCACATGGCAGTTGGTCTCTTGACTTTCAGCTTATCGTCCTTACCCGTTCGACATTGTTTTGTGTCCATTAAAGATTGGGCGAGCAGAAGGGTGAGTGATACAAGGAGCTCTTTGTCCATAAAGTCATAGCTTTTGTGCAGAGACCAATCCAAATATCGTTCTACTTGTCGTTCTCTTTGGTTTGATTATGTTCCCGTCTAAAGCTCTCGGTATACGTTTTGCATTGCCTTATCTAACAACTCAGAGTTGCGCAAGCAAGTTTTGTTATGTTGGAGATTGTATAATTATTTTGTGATCCAAGATTTTGATCAATTTATGCAAGCTGGCAAGCAAGGCCGAAGGAAGTAGGGAATAGGGTGGAAAGTTTTTTGATAAGCACGCGAGGATTGTTCGAGAGCAGTTGGAGGCTCGGTCCAACTCCACACCAAACCTTGAAAAGGAGGTAGTTGAGTCCAAAAGAGTCTGCTATCGAATCTGTTGAGTTCAGACTTCAAAGAATCAGAGGGTTGTTGGTTTGCTCAAAAGTGTGAGATTTTAGATTTGTCATAATCTGTTCAAATTGAGGAAGCCAAGAGATAATATTTAGAAGAAGTTTGTAGCTTGTTAAAGGCAGTGTGATGCCAAATCAATGTAGTGCAAGTATTCTTCTTGCAATGAACCGGTGATTGCGGCAGTGGGTCGCATGCGCAATTATTATGCTGGCTATAAGAAGCGGCCACGGTCTATAGGCCAGTTAGATGCGGGGTTCCAACCATCTCGAAAGAAGATGGTACCATTAATCGTTAGTTCATCGGTTCCATCCAGCAACAACCAGAGCAAGTCAGTGTCCCGAATGATTCTCAAGACAATTTCTTCTCTACCGATCGTAAACGTTTTGATTTCTTGAAGAAAGACGAACAGCAGGATCTCGATACACTATTTACACGTGTTGTTTACCAAATGGCATAGCCGTGCGGGCTATGCCATTTGCTGCATTTGAGCATCCGACATGGAAGCTGTTTTTTAAGTTGCTTCGTGGTTGCTTTCAACTTCCTCCAATAGAAGCTATTGATGGTCAATTGACGCGAGATGAATACTCATTTGCAATGAACGATGTTCTTCTCGCACTAAGTAGGAGGTCGCTGATCTACCTTATCTTGAATGATGCCACAAATATGCATGACGAGCAGGTGATCAACTTGATAGCTTGTTCATCAATTGCAATGTTCTTGGAACATTCTACAATGGAATTGCACAGAGAGAGTGCAACAAATTTGTTGGAGAATGTTTTGGACAACAAGTTGGGCCTTCTAGGAAATATATGTAATTCGGCTACTGGTTTCTTCTTATCGAGGAATATCAAAACAATTGTAGATTTCGATAGAGATTCTAAAGTTGTAGAACAGCAGGGTGAAGAAGGGCTGTCATGCACCAAGAATGAACATTTCGTTTATCCATCGATGTTTTGCTTATGCTTGTCATGGTTAAGGAATGTCTTAAGTCAAACAAATTCATGTTTACATACGCCTGTGCAACCCATGCGATCAACAATCTTTGCATGGATTTGTGCAAACACTTTTTATGAGTGAATCGAGTTTTTAAAACAATCATGTTTATGGTCAAGACGTTCAAGTTGTCCCATCTTTTGTTAAAGTTGTTCGACAAGCTGTGCATTGAGAAATATCGGAAGACATACGTGCTCATTCTCTTTACGAAGACCCGATGGGGTACTGTCTACTACGCTGCTCAACGTATAAAATTGGCATGTGCATCGTTGCCAAGCATAATTTTTTATGCCGATCATGACATTGATATATCCGACAAATTGAAAGCTTTGATTATAAAGCAGTCTTATTGGAAGAGCGTATCTGCAATGAGACATTCTTTAAGACAATATGCTCATGTTTAACATATTTAAAGGGAGACAAAGCAACAATTTTTGTTGTGTAAGTCTTCTTCGTGACTATCAAATTCCACATTAGGACGCTGAAATCCGTTGTCAATGACGCATTGAATTTGACTCAAAATGATATCGAACAGATTGTGAGGATGATTCACCATTGCTTCTCAATAATTTATACGAAGGCCCATGCTCTCGCATTCGCTACTAATCCATTCTTTAGCTTCATGCGCACTAGAATCGCGGCGAAGTTCAGCAAAGAGTTCTTGCAATTGTAGAAGTCTTCAATCAATCAGCAGTCAAAGGCCGCAATCAGCCGTCTTGCGCATGGCAACGACAACCTCCAGGGAAAATCCTTTAGTGAGTTCGTCACGTTTATTGTG